GTTTCTAATGTATACATATATATATATATATATATAATAGTGTGTTGAATAACGTTAAAATCAAGAAATTGGATGGCAATATTCTGTATTATAACTTGGCCCTAGATTTTTCCTTAATATGGACCAATAATATTCAAACTGGACCACGTATTATATTATCAGGTAGCAGTGTACCCTACCAGAGGAAATAATTATAGATCTAATAGGGGGCCCTCAATCTGGCCCTATAGGTTACTATGAACGTATATATATAATAGCGTTAAAATGAGGAAATTTGAAGTCATTATTCTGTATTATCATGTAACCCTATATCTCCCCTTAAATTTGATCCATAATATTCAAACTGGACCACGTATACAGGGTACTAGCTTACCCTACCTGAGGAAATAATTAGAGGCTTTAGTGGGGCCCCACAGTGTAGCCCTATAGGTTACTATGTAAGTATATATATAATAGTATATACATAGTAACTATTATATTATATTATATAATATAATAGTTACTATATAAGTATATATATAATATTAAGTATATAAAAATGAGGAAATTCGAAGTCAATATTCTGTATTATAATATGTACAAAATTCTGGAAGAATTAGTGGAAAATATGAAAGCAACTTTGTTGAAAAAACAATAAGTCCCCAATGTTCCAAATAGCTTCGAAAGCATCAAACTCCCCCTCCAAAAATTAAAATTCCTGTTCCGAATCGTCCAATATTTGTAATATTTTGGTCTAAAAGTGGAAGTCTAATGGAGAATCGATGTGAGCGCTCTTCTGATCGATTTTTGTTGGGTAGAGCCACCTGTTGGTGGTTGTTGTCAGTTTTGGAAAGAACAGAAGAGGATGAATCTCTCTTTGTCAGGATATGCAGCAGATAATGCCGCCAGGCGTCAAAAAGGAAGCAGCGTTACGAATCAACTCATCGGATGGAGAAGCTCACAGCTATTAGTAGTTGAGCAAGCAAAGAGCTTGTGTAGCAAATATCTCAGGTATTTATTCTTGAAAATATTTTATTTTGAATTTTTCCAAGAAAAATAATTCTTTCCAACTTTATAGTCGACATTTTATTTTAAAGTCTTTAAAAAAATGGGGTAAAAATATTATAATTTATACAGCTTAATTGTAAAATAATTGGGAATTTGTAAAAATGTTTAAAATAACGAATTTATGCATTTAACTAAATTTTATGTTCAAAAAGGTGTTTAGAATTTTGTAGAAGCCGTGAGAAAAAAAAGAGCTTCGTCCAACTTAATTTCTTCCCATTTTCCTGATGAGGAACAGCATTTATTTTTAAATTTTCTCCTCGGCGCATTAGTTATTTTGAATTTTTATTAATTATTCCTGAGAGTGACTTTGAAGAAAATTTAGGCTATAATGTTTATGCAAATGCTTTTATTTTAATTGCCGAAAATCATTTACATTACCATTCAACACATTCAAACATTTTTAAAAAAAATACACACGCTGGTTCTGCAAATCTGAGAAAATTTAATTTTTGTTGTCTTTTGATAGATTATACGAATATTTTATTTTGTCCCATCTGGTAGGGGCATTCAAAAAATGTCACAAATACATAAAATAAATAATACAATAAAAATACTTGATTCTCAAACTGTACAATATGAAACAAAAGATCAACACAATTAAAAATAATGTAGAAATTAAAGCACTTTAAGGAAAATAAATAAGAAAAACAGCTGAGATTATAAATAAACAACGTGCACTTTAAAGTCCACCCTTAATATATATTTTATGAATTTTGGTAAACAAAGGAATCTAGGTTAATCAGAGCAAAGGAAGGATTCAAATAATTTAGTTTATTGGTCTTAGGAAAATAAAATGCCTTCCACCTCATTTCAAAATAAATCAGTTTTTGGTGATAGATCGTTTCTGTGATTCGTCAGAATTTTATTAAGTTTTTATTTTTTCATTCAAGTATCCTATATCTAATTTGAACAATTTTACAGCATTTTTTTTCACAAAGATTCGGAGATTGTATATTTAGGATGGTTATTACAGAACATCCAATGTAAATAACATGCTCGATTTTTATGGCAAAATAAAAATAATATTAACATATTTATGACAAATTAATGTTTTTTATTATTAAATTATTAATTTATTGTAAAAATTATTTCCTGTTGCTCAGAATCGTATTAATTGCTGTAATATAAGGTGGTCAGAGGGATCAAGTTCATAAAGTGTAGTTTCAAGATAATCATAATTTATTAAAAAAAGTTTATTTCTAAAGTGATTTACGAAAATTTAATTTACTACCCTAAATATAGCTATAAAAATATTAACAAGTATCAACAATTAGAAAGCATAATAAGTCAAAAACAATTTTCTTTTGTAATTGATCCACTTTATATATCACAGACAATTTTATTCACCCAAACTTATTTTATTTTTCACTTTATTTTATTAAGGAATTACACGCTATGTATCTGATATGATAAAATAGCAATTATATTAACATTAGCAAAGCTGATAAACATGGTGGTAACCTTTTCTAATGTAGTTTTTTATGCTGATTTCAAATCTGAAAACCGTTTTGTTCTATCTCAGGTTTTCGTGGAACACAGTTTAATTTTTATAGAATGGTCTTTAAATTTTAGTAGATGTAAGAGAATACTTCTTAAATTTTAATAATTTTAATGGAATATTGTTTAAATCTTATTAATTCAAGTGGAGTCAGCATGCATAGGGTACAATAACTACACATTTTTGCCAGAGTCACTTAGTGAATTTTATTGCAATAAGTGTCATTTTATATTAGAACCTCTGAAAAAAAAATATCCGAGGAAAAAAAGCTATAAGAAGAAAAAGCAAGGAAAAAGAGCATCAGGAAGAAAGCACTATGTTAACAATTGCATGAATTTAATGACCAATTTGATTTAAGCTGTTCAACATGAATTCAATATAACTAAATATTTATTCGGATGTAAATAGATATTATTTTAAAAACTGATTGGCATATAAGCATATTTGAGGTCACTTCCCCAAATCATTTAGATTGAATCCTAGAACGTGAAGAACCGATCATTAGGCCAAAAGTTAATCTGAGTGTTTTTTTTTTTCGTGTGCTCCGAATATCAATTTTAACCTTGACAAAAAGTGGTTATAAATGAGAAATTTTACTATGACTTTTTTCCCCTAAATTTTAAGAAAAAAAAATATCAAAACTTATCCTGGACATGGTTTAACAATATGTCTTGAATTCATTACAGAAACCGTTTTGTTTCACGAAAGTTTTCAATTATTGCCAAATATTATAGTTATGAACTCCTTTTTTAAATACAAAAAAAAATTAGTCTTAAAATTAAACAAATTTATATAATTTTGTCTGAGTCTAACTTTAAGAGTTTTAATTTTAATATATAAATGTTCTAAAAAAGAAAAAAAAAATTAAAATAAAGAAAGAAAAAAAAAACTTGCCCTTTCAAAAATTTCTTTCTCGCTACGCCTATGATCAAGTGACAATTATTTATAAAGAGATTATTTTTGCTATAAGTTAAAAATATTTTAAAAAATTACGAAATATTTCATTTTAGTACAATTTTCTTTAAAAAAAAAACCACCAGTAGATGAAACACTATCCCGTCACAATTAGCGTGATTATTGAAATTCGGAAAAATTACGGAGCAGTTATATAGTCCTAAAAATGCTGTTAAATAATATGAAGTACGTAAAATTTCTTCTTCGAACTTTAAATTAATCCGTGAACTTTAATTTTTTTTAAAAGTATTCCGATTTCATTAGAATAAATAACTTTAAATTTGGGCTTAATTCGCTGGATGGCTTAAATCAAATTGAATATAAATTTATATAATTACGTCATATAATTAAGTAATGTTTTTTTTCTGGTAAACATTTGCTACTATGGGGACATGTGTACAACACTGACGTATGGCTTAAATTAAGGATGCATTTTCTGAGTGTATGGCTTTTACGTATGCTATATTTTGAACTAATTATTTCTTTATAGCATATATGTCATGCGACTTAATCTGACTGTTTTCTTAGCTAATAATGTGTTTATGAGTACTCAATTTAAAAGCTCTAGTGAAATATAAATGGCTAAAGTAGTATATCTAAAAATCGATGGGTGATAGGATCAATGGTTTGCATATTTTAAATCAGCATATTTTATATATCTTAGAAAATTTATCGGATACTATGATTAACGCTGATTACCGCAATTTTTTAAAATTTGTTTTCAGTGTAATAGATATTATAATTAGACTCTGTGTTCAATATATTGGACAACATTTATTACTATTTTATCACTTAAAATATAATACATTCCGTTTGTATTTTTCCTTTTGTATGCTTTTAAAAAACGATTTTTTACACAAAAATTTAATTGGATTTACCCTTGTTAGTCGGAGAGAAGGAAAGGTAAGAATTATGAGAAAAGATAAGAAATTTGTATCAAGTAATCTTTTGGGTGGTCTTTGGCATATAAATATCGTATTATTTGCGTCTAGTGGATTTTGTTTTACGAGAAAAATATGATTTCTAAAATATGCAGAAAATGCTAAAAATTAAAATTTAGAAATTTTTATGAAATAATATAAAAATAACTAAGAAAAAGTTATGAGTAAAAGTCAATTTATTAAAATTTTTATTCCATCTATGAGTTTACTATATAATTCTAAGTCAAAAGCGCATTTTCTGCTATTAATATTCAAAGTTCTAGTCTCTGGTAGTTAAAATAAAAGTAGAAAAAAAAATTGTGCAGAAATTTTTTTTCGTAGAAAAAAAGAAACAAATAAAATAAACAAAAACTTCTAATTTATACTTTCGTCAGACTAAAAAATATCGGGAAAAAACTCTCCTATTTTTAAATTAGTGCCTGTGAATAATTTTTTAATTATTTCCAGAAATGCCCTTTAATAGGTGATTAATCCGAATAAGAAAATTCGAATAATTTCCCTTTTTTTTAAATAGGTTTAAGTTGAAAAATTGTAAAAAACTTGGACTTCAACGACTGAAATGGCCTCCGGCAGAACTTGTTTTCGAACTTCGAGAGTTAGGAATGGAAATGGAACGAAATCACCCAGAACTTTATCAAAGCGTTACCGAAAATGTTGGACTCTATTCTTTACCATCAGAATATGCTGTGCAAAATTTATTAAGTACACTGGCAACAGAGCTTTTTCGTGATCGTCATGTCACTTGGGGACGAATTGTTGCACTCTATGTGTTGGCTGGAGCTCTAGCAGTTGATTGCGTTAAACTTGGACGGCCAGAATATGTTCTTGGATTAGTTCAAGCTGTTGGAAATAGTATCGAAAAAGATTTGGCAAATTGGATCATCCAACAAGGAGGATGGGTAAGAAACCATTAAATTAAGTATCTTGAGAGATAGCATCACAACCTTAATATTTTATATGCAATACACTCTATAATATGACATTTATTTATTAAAATTTCATTTTCTTTATAAAAGTTCACTTTCTCTTTTGTTTTTACATAATTCGGAATCGAGAGCGTACCAACCTCTGTACTGAATTTACAATTTCAATGTATATTTCAATGTATATTACTAAGATTTTATTTGATATTGTAATTTACCCTTCATATTAATTTAAAAATATTCACTTTCCATTATATATGTAATAGCATGACAAAAATCTTGCTTCTTCTGGAATCTCTCTCTCTAATATATATAAGCTATAAG